ATCATATTCCCCCAGCCACCACTGACTGAATTTGGCCCCATCATATTGGTCTAGGCTCAAGAAGCCCTGAAAAACGTTAGAGCCACAACCTCTGAAATAGCTCGATGGCTAGTGACAGCCAGTGAAGAATAAAAACTATGCTGTGCCTACAACTAATGGAGATTTAGTGCCTTCTTCAGAGAAGCACCCTTGCCAAACTCCTTGAACAAGGCAATAGTCTGCCCATTGCTCAGTCATCACTCAACTGATTTCTCAGATATTCCTGAGCAAAATAATTGAGATGGTTACATAACCACCAAGCCCCAACATGACATCAGGCAATATCCTAGATGTATCACAATCAGGACAGCACAGACAGTCATACAGCCCTAGTGACACTGACCATTTCCATATTGCCATGGACAAAGATATGGTCTCCACACTCATGCTGTGGGACCCCTCTACCTTCCCTTCCCCCCACCCCACTGTAGACCACAGGTACTGCCAACCTGCCCACATGACCTAGTAGAAGTAGATGGCTCAGCACTTCAGTGGCTCCAGTTGTTCCTTTCCAGCCAAACTTAGAGTGGCGGTAGGTGAATGCTCCTCCTCGCTGAAGGTGATAATCTGTGGAGTCCCACAGGGAACAGCTAGTACAGAATGCAGCTGCCCACTTCCTCCATGATCTAGGCCAGTGGCTCTCAACCTTTCCAGACTACTGTACCCCTTTTAGGAGTCTGATTTTTGTCTTGCATACCCCAAGTTTCACCTCACTTAAACTACTTGCTTACAAAATCAGACCTAAAAATACAAAAGTGTCAGCACACTATTACTGAAAAATTGCTTACTTTCTCCTTTTCACCATATAATTATAAAATAAATCAATTGGAATGTAAATATTGTATTCGCATTTGTGTGTAGTATAAACAAGTCATTGTATGAAATTTTAGGTTGTACTGACTTCGCTAGTGCTTTTTATGTAACCTGTTGTAAAATTAGGCAAATGTCTAGATGAGTTGATGTATGCACACCCCTGGCTGAGAACCACTAGTCCAGGCTGCTTTGAACATAAAAAAACCTTAGTCCTAATTTTGCACTGGGACAGCTGCGTTAGAGACCAAATTGTTATCTATGAACCACCAAACACTGCATGTCATAAAGCCCAGGATGAGTGGGTATAAGCTGGGAACTGAACATTTTTGGTGTAGGACAGGGGTGGGCAACCTATGGCACATGTGCCAAAGGCGGCACACAAGCTGATTTTCAGTGGAACTCACACTGCCCGGTTCCTCCCCACCGGTCTGGGGCTCTCTGCATTTTAATTTAATTTTAAACAAAGCTTCTTAAACCAGGGCTTTGGAGCTGTGCTCTGGCTCCGCTCCAGCTCCAGGCAAAAACCTGCAGCTCCACTGCTCTGGAGCTGCTCCGCGTTCCAGCTCCAGGCTCTGCTCCAAAGCCCTGCCTTAAACATTTTAAAAACCTAATTTACTTTACATACAACAATAGTTTAGTTATATATTGTAGACTTATAGAAAAAGAGACCTTCTAAAAACGTTAAAATGTATTACTGGCACGCAAAACCTTAAATTAGAGTGAATAAATGAAGACTCGGCACACCACTTCTGAAAGGTTGCTGACCCCTGGTGTAGGAGATGAGCAGTGGAACAAACTTTCAGTGATTAGATTCTGGATTTACTTTCCTATCTTTAGGAAATGCTATAAACCTTCATCTTTTGAAAAAGCCTTTGAGTTATAACAAGAATGACACTCGCAACCTTGAAACCCTCACCTACCCAAATACTCTCTGCAATTTTTTTTTAAACCTAACCAACAAAATGCACTAGAATTTTAACCCCCAAAAAAGAAGAGACATGGAGGCTCCATGAAGACCACAGAGGACTTTGCTGTTGTTCTATGGTTGGGTTTGTTAGCATGGTGGTGTGTGGTAATATAAAACCCTACAGAGCCCTCCAAGAAGAAATCAGAATGACATGGCTGCATGGAGAATGAGAAATTAGAGCTGGAGAGAATTGTAGGAAATCTGCATAGAGGTGGTAGTTGTGCGCTATGGAACAAATGAAAGCACCTAGTCAACAGCCTTCTCTTTTCACTGTACACTATCAACACAACTATTAGTAAGTTGGATGAGGATGGGAGAGAGAATGTGAAACTGCCAGGAAACACAGGTGGGGTGGTCAATGTTACGGTAGGATGAGAAAGGGAAGGATATTGAAACTAGCAGAGATACATCCGTGCGAATGAAGACAGATCACCAGGAAAAGTTGCTAGTGATTTGGATTAAAACAACTTTGGTAAAATGAAATGTGTGTGTGTGTGTGTGTGTGTGTGTGTGGTTTTTTTTACCACACCTGGATGTGGGAGTTTGAGGGCAAGAAAAAATTCCTTAAACAGGAGTTCATATCCAAAAGATGGAAATGTTGGTGCTTGTCTTCATTATGGAATGTTACCATGTTTGAAAGAGACAAGGTAGATGAAGCACTCTCTCTTACTGGACCATTTCTGTTGGTGGAAGAGACAAGCTTTTGAACTTCACAGAGCTCTTCAGATCTGGGGAAGGTAACCAGAGTGTCTGAACTAAATACAGCTTGGAACAGATGAAGCATAAAGGTCTCTCTCGCATTTTGTAGACCATTTAAAATGAAGTGGGCCATTAAGGGTTAGCGGGCAGTAGGTTGTGTTAAAGTTGTAATGAGAAACAAACTAGTGTTTCTGTTTAGTCCATGGTTTTTAGTGTCTATCAGAGTTAGGAATTTAAGTTCCCAAGTTTGTCTTTTGAGGTGGTGTTGTGAAGGTTGCCTTTGAGGACAAGGACTTGAGGTCCGATATGGAATGATTGCTTTGTGGGAAGTGTTTGCCCAGGAGTGATGTGGTGTTTTTGCCTTCTATCATTTTTCTGCAAGTTCATTTGAGTGTTGCAATTATCTGGTTTCACCCAAATAGTTGTTTCTGTGGCATCTGATGCACTGGCTGAGGTACACCACATGTTGTGATAGGCATGTGTAGGACCCAGGGATCTTGAAGGTGTGTTGTGGGGCGGGATATTGATCATCAAACATTGGAACTGTCTGCAGGTTTTGCCGCACACTTCTGGAAAAAAACACACCACCAAGAATCCCCACAGATGCTACAGTGGGTTTCTCAAACTGTGGTCCATGAGGATGCTCTAGGGGGCCCATGAGTCATATCTGGGGCTGCCAGCCCTGCTAATCAACTCCTCCCCCTCTCTCCCAGTGCCTCCTGCATGCCCCGGAATAGCTGTTGAGCGGTGTGCAGGAGGCACTGGGAGGGTTGGGTAGGAGCAGGGATAGGGTGTGCTCAGGGGAGGGAGTGGAAAGAGGTGGGAAAGAGAAGGGGCAGGGGTAGAGTGGGGGCAGGAAGAAGTGGAGTGGGGGGAGGGCCTGGGGTTGAGCAGGACTTTTGGGGGTCTGCACAAATTTTTAAATCAAAATGGGGGTCCTTGAGTTGCAAAAGGTTTTTGAGAACTGCTGTGCTACACAACACCCCAACTTCACCATCCTATCAAGACTTCCTCCAACTGGAACCAAAGTATCTGTACTCTTCTGAAGTTCACAAGACTGAACTTTTGCCCCATCACAGAACCTGAAAATGTTTGGCTTTGTAGTGATGAGCAGGAGTAGAAATAATTTAGAGCAATTCTATTAAATATATAAATACACAAAAATGAAAATAGATTTAACACATGATGAATTTTTAATTTTATTACTGAAATACATTTGTTGGAACAATATGGTCCCTATATTCTATCAGTTCTTAAGATGGTGTTCTGCTTAACTGATGGAATGATACAGCCCTTAAATTACATATTGTAACACTTGTTTTCCCTGAGTTGTTTTTTTTACTGAAATGATCTACAGTGCAATTGAATGATGTTCTAATTTAATTTTTAAAAATTCGTACAAATTAACTGAACATGATCTAACTCTTCTTGGATAGTATTCCATACTAATACCTCTCAGCACCATGATGTGTATGACCGTTACTAAACATTCAGAAGCTTTTGTTTTTTGTCTGATTTATATATTTTTCATACCCTAGGCACGAGGGTAAAATGGGCTATGCAGTAGTGAGTGTATTCTTCTCCACTCATTCAGAGCCCTAAAGCTTTCTGTAATATATTAAAATGCTTGCGTGTTCAATTAAAAAGTACTGCATTACCTTCTGTAATCAATAGTAACCAAGGATATTTTTCTGGCTAAATCATGAGGAGTGGCTTTGCCACAGCCTTCCTATGTGACTTTGGGCAAATCATTTAATCTCTCTCTGCCTCACCTTTTTCATCTATTAATTGGGTATAATTGTGTTTACTTACGTCACAAGTGTTTGTAAAAACACATTCAGTTTAAAGTGTAAAGTAACTTTATATACTCTGTCCACAATACAGCTCCATCCCTATCAAGACTTTGTGTCTGCGCTGTTTTTAAGGGACTGCATTGTGTACAGTAATCGGAGTCCAATTGCATTGGGGTAGTAAATGCTGGCTTTTGGTTCGTTGTTTCTGTTCACATCTGATCAGATAAGTCAAGGAGTAGCACTAGCTTGTATTTTCTCTTTGGTTCTGTATGTCGACTTCTAGCTTTTCTAAGGTTTGTACTCAATCTTTTATATTGTGTTTTCAATGCTAATAACAAAATACCACTACTCTATATAATGGTGCTACCCCTTCTCTTAACCTGTGTTCTACAAACCACGCTTCAGAAGATAAAAATGCCAAAATAATAGTTGGTTGCTATTGTTACTAAAAAAAAGTTCAATGCGTAACTAAAAATATCTATCCTGGCCTAATATTCCTTGAAAACCAAGTTGGGTCTCGCACACTTTCTGCAGCGCCTGCTCCCCCAGGCTTGCTCTTTCCAGCGACATGTTTTTGAAATCACGCTGATGCTGTTGATGTCCAGCCTGCAGAGCGATTTGGGAAGGGTACTTTCCGTGCGCACTCCCTTGCGGGCTAGGAGGGAGCAGGGTGGAGTGGAGGACAGGAGGTTGGATGTACGGCCAGGGGAGGCAGGGCCGGGCAGGGTTACGGTACGGTGGATGGGGAGGGAACCACTTCTCCAGCTCGGCCAGTTTCTCCAGCAGGAGCAGCAGCAGCCTCCCCGGCCCGCAGGGGACCGGCCCAGATAGGCACCCGCTAAGGGCAGGGGGAGGAGCAGCAGCGGGAGGCCGCTGCGAACAAACAAGTCGTTACTAGCTGCGCTTCCCCCTGCCTGCGCCCCTCCGCGGCGGAGCGGGCAGAATCCGAGAGGCGGCCGGGGGCGCGGGGCGGCGCTGGCTCCCTGCAGCCCCAGCAGCATCGCCGGGAGGCTGCGCTGTGCGCTGGCTGCTCGGGGCCGGGCAGGGTGACGGGCTCCCAGAGCCCGGGCGTTGCGCAGCTCCACCAGCCTAACTTGGCAGCCGGCACCCGCTTCCCGCGCGGAGGCGGCGAGGGGCCGGGGAGCCGGGCACTGCGCTGCCCCGTCGGAGAGGAGGGGCCGGGCCCCAGCGGGCAGGGGCTAGGCTGGGCGGCCGCGGCAGAGGGCGAAGCCGGCAGGAGGTGAGGCTGGGCGGCCGCGGCAGGGCGAGAAACCGGCAGGGGCTGGTGGGCGGCCGCGGCCGGGGGGCCGGGCACCAGAGGGGCTCCCCGGCCCAGGGCCACGCAGCGGGGCGGATGGCTGCGGGCAGCATCACCACCCTGCCCGCGCTGCCCGACGACGGGGGCAGCGGCACCTTCCCCCCGGGGCACTTCAAGGACCCCAAGCGGCTGTACTGCAAAAACGGGGGCTTCTTCCTGAGGATCAACCCGGACGGCAGAGTGGACGGAGTCCGGGAGAAGAGCGACCCGCACAGTGAGTACCAGCCTCTTCCCCGCCCTCTGCACCCCCTGCCCGGTCCCGGGGCACGCCCTAACTACTCCCAGGGGCTACCGGCTGCGCCCTCCCACCTCTACACCGTTCACGGCATCTGCCCACTTCTAGTGATACCCTCACCTGCATACTCCCCTCTTCAAATCTACATAGCCCAAACTCCTTGCTGACTGAGGGTAAAATCCTGGCTTCATTGAAAACAATGGCAAACTCCTATTTCAGCGGGGGCAAGATTTCACTCTAGGTCTCAAATCTATTCCTGTTACCTTCCGATCATCTGGATCGTGTGTGAATATGAAGACCTGAGTTCACTCCTACTTTGGTCACAGACCTGCTGTGTGACCTTGGATAAATCACTTCACCTCTGGGCTTCTTCACAATAGAGAATCTTACAGTGTTTGAACAGGATTGGGAACATTTGAGTTAATGACACTGTCATGACCATGACTTTGCAGTCAGCATAGACTAGCTTAATTCATGAATGTGGGGGTTTAACCATAGCTAGCTGACAGAGCATCTCATCCTGGGCTACACCAACTGAAAACTATAGTCAGTATTTTGTCTAACTTGAGTGATCCCAATCCTATTCAAGCACAATAAGATGTTCTTGCATATACAAGTTCTCTGCTTGTCTTTCCCCATCTCTAAAATGGATAGAATGACACTTGCCTATTGTAAGTATTTCATGTTATTAGCTTTAAACTTAACACTTGAAGGTTTATCTGTACTGATCAATCAGCTTTATTATTAATGGACAATGTAGAGTTATGGTTCTGTTAACGCAAGCAAGCTCGCATCTTAAACAAGAAAGAAAAGACTCATAGACTTTAAGGTCAGAAGGGACCATTATGATCATCTAGTCTGACCTCCCGCATGATGCAGGCGACAAAAGCTGACCCAACCCCTTTCCCTTGACTCTGTTGTTGAAGTCCCCAAATTCTGTGATTTAAAGACTTCAAGTCGCAGAGAATCCTCCAGCTAGCGACCCCCGCCCCATGCTGCGGAGGAAGGCGAAAAACCTCCAGGGCCTCTGCCAATCTACCCTGGAGGAAAATTCCTTCCCGACCCCAAATATGGCGATCAGCAGAACCCCGAGCATGTAGGCAAGATTCTCCAGAAGAGCGTGGCACATGTTTGTAGAAGTTTTCATTTTCATGTATAATCAGCTTGGATCAAAGGACAGTAAAAACAAGTATAAAATACTTTGAATACTACAAAACTTGAACTATATCCCAGACAGTATTCTTGTGGAAGTGGTAATACCTCTCCCAGTGCCCTCCCTCTCAGGGCAGGAATAGGGTCCTGGGATGAGAATGCCAGTTCACTTCCTTTATTTTGCAAGGGAATCACAGTACACAGAATGGTCTAATCCTCAGTTAGTGAGAATAGGCAATCAGACACCTTGCACTGCAAGAGGCTTGTTGTCCAACATGAAATTGTGTGGGTGGATCCTTATTACTAAAGTAGCCTTTTGCTTATTTAGAGAACAAAAGCCACAAGACTTGTCAAAGTATTGAATAGTCTATGTATAGTACTTGCCAATCCAGTGGCAATTCATTAACCTGTCCCACAACTGAAGAGCTGCTGGTGAATTATTTCCTTCAAATCAGTTATGCATGGCAGAATTACTATGCAGTCTCCTATCATAGGGTAACAGCCCTACCATGCTTCCTGATTAGTATACTACTAGAATTGTACTATGCATGCTATGAACCTTGACTAGACAAGGAACTGCTATGAGACCTTTGGCACCAGCTGCAGACAAAATAAGATCCTACTCAAACGGGCTCTTTTCACAAAGAGGTAGTTGTGGCATAAAATTAACTAGGATTTTGGCCCTATTTTTCATCTGCTGCTGGCCTGATTCCGAAATGCAAATGGCATAGAAGGGAGACAGAAGAGGAGGAGGAGGAAGACAAGAAGGAAATGGGGAGACAGATACAGAAAGAGAAGAGCTACAAAGAGAAAAAGGAGAGTAGGGCAGAGAGAGGGACAATGACTCTTACACTGGTGTCCAATGAGAATTTGTAGACCTCAAAGGCTTACACTTCAAGTATTCATATTTGAATTTAGCCTGCTAACCTACCACACAGTACACCTGGAAACCCTTTAATATTTTCTTCCAATTTTGGTTTCTAAATTCTGGAATATATTTGCCAATACCTCCTTTTAAATTCCCGGAGAAACACTGCAGGAGCCTGACACCTGACCTGGGCATATTTGGAGTGGGTTGGAGACAGCCTATAGCTGTGTTACTGTGTGATGTGCCTTGTACATTCACTTTTTTCTTGTAGATTTCTAGGATGCCCCTTGAAAAAAGGAATATATAATACAAATGTGTGTGGAGTAGTGTAAAATATGAAATTATACTCAATGATATAAATACCATAAACCTTGGCACATGGAATGCCTAAAGTAAGGTATTAAATTTATATATAGATAAGGGGCCTGTGTGGTTCCTCCTCCCTCCCCTCCCAGACGTGTCAGTCACTGACCGCTCTGGATGCCCTGTACTGAAAATCGGGACATTTGTTTTGGTGTCTAAATATGGACCTAGCTGCCTAACTATTTTTTAAAATGTGACTGAAAAGTCCCATTTAAATACTCTGGATACTAGAAGAATTTGCTTTTTCTAATTCAGTTTTCATATGGAAATGTAAGCTTACATCATAATAGTAACCCTAATGACGTTAATGCTTTCTGTCTTTTTAAAAATTAATGTACATGGACGCCTGGAGCAGGGTATGTTTGGGAACAAATGGAAATATTGGGGAAATGTGGTCATTCTTATAGGAAAAGTCTAATTCATTCATAATGCACATCTTGTCACCTCATGGATAGCTGGGAGAGTATCTTTGAAATCTAATACAAAGTTTGGATTCATGGCTGAAGTATGGGTCTGTGAGGCAAGCACTCTCTCTTTCCTGGTTCTGCAACCTCTCTGCATCTTCAGTTTCACCCGATTGCACTCCTATTCCTCTGCTGCCATTCTTCTTTGTATCTCTATTTTTCTTTCCCTCCTCCTCCTCCCTCTCACACTCTCTTGCCTTTTTAGTTAATCATTCTCCCTCCCCCTTCTCCTGACTCCACCCTACTGCCTTCTTCCTAATTCCAGTACTCTGATTGCCTCTACTCCCTTTACCAACTTCCTCCATGGTAGGCTGTGGCACCAGTGAGTAGGGTACTCTTCTATTCCAAACCATATCCAGGGAGGGGTTACAGGTATGTTTCCTTTAAAGTCTGTCCCTTCCCCCTCCTCACTCCCACATTTCTACTACTGCCAATAACTTGAGGGGCCTAAGAAAAGGTTGTTTTTGGTATGCTTGGAAGGTCATACTGAAACAACAAGCAATAAATAAAAGACAAGTCTTGGACACCTTCCTAAGAGGCATAAGACTGAAAATGTTATAAAGAAAAGTATATCTAAATTAAGTGATGCAGTTTTACCTTATGATGCCTGACTTTCCCTTTCTTAAACATCCATTTCTATGAGAAATGTAGTCAGGGGAAATTGATGGAATTATTCCAGCAGAGAAATTGACCTAAATGTTCAAGGGCATTGATTCAAGGAAAATTTAGTAGAGATTATTTTGGTAACTGTTCTTTTCAAGATTTAATTGCCTAAAGTTGTATTGGATGAACACTGGTTCCTTTCTTCTTTCAAAGGAAGTTCTGATTTTAGATGGTGTGAAGACCTGTATCTGGTTAGATCTGTGTCCAAAATATAATAGTGTAAAACAGTGTCTTATTTAGTTGTTGTCAAGGCTGAATCCCCACTCTGTCACTCAGAGTACAGAAGTGGGGGCCTGAAATTAATACTTGCCACTCCAGGCTGATATTACACTCCCAAGGTTACAACTTCTCTCTGACCATAGGTGCTGCCTCCGTGGATGCTCCAAAAAAATTGGTGGGTGCTCAGCTCCCATCGGCAGCTCCCTGCCCCAGCCCCCCCCCCGCTCCAGCTTGCCTCCGCGAGTGCGGTGCCGCATCCTGCTTCTCCCCCCACCCTCCCAGCGCTTGCGCTGCGAAACAGCTGATTCGCGGGGCAGGGAGGGAGGGGGAATGCGGCGCACTGGGGGAAGAGATGGGGCCAGGAATTTGGGGAAGAGATCCAATAGGGGTAGGGAGGGGACGGAGTTAGGGTGGGGACTTTGGGGATGGGGTTGGAATGGTGGTGGGGCTGGGTGGAGAAAGGGTGGAGTCTGGGCGGGGCTAGGGCCAGGAGGGCATGGCACCTACCGGGGCAGGAGAAAATTGGCGCCTATGTCTCTGACCTTGGCTTGGTAAATGCTGCCATCACCCAAATGCAAAAAAAAAAAAAAAGCACCCTTTGAACCCAGGAAGGAGCACTTGGGAATTCCTCCTTGCAGTACTCTCAAGCCCTTCACACCCCCCCCGCCCCCCTCCCCGGGAAAGTGCTGAGAAAGAAAACAAAGGAAATTAGCTGTGGCTACCAGCTAATTAAGCAACATGCACAAACCTCTTAGAATACCAAAAATCCAATCCTGTTCTTAAAGATAAATGTGATTAAAACAAAAAGGAAAAAATTACACCTGGAACTTAGGCTTTTGTTAGATTTTAAAAGAGCAATTACAAAAACCAAGCACCCAAAATAGCTTTCTTGCGGGTTCAGCTTAAAGGTTACAAGCAAACAAAAGCATCTGGGGTTAGCACAGAGGCAATCCACAAGCCAAAATAAAAAATCAACCTAATTGTCTGTCTAAACATTCCCTATCCAAATAATTTCTTCCAGGTATAAAAGATGAATTTTCATACCTGGTTCAAGCCTTATACAGCATTGCTGCTCCATCCCTGCAGCCCAGAGAACAACGGACAAAGGGAAAGTTTCTTTCCCAATTTTAAAAAATTCTATCTTCCCACTGGCTCTTTTGGTCAGGTGCCCACTCCTTTTCTTTTACCTGTGGGCTTGTTAACCCTTTACAGGTTAAGCAAGAAGAGAACAGACCAAGAGGGGTTTTATA